GTCACTTACCCTAGTCGTGCTCGGGAACACAGGTGTCTGCAGAAACCAAGGAAAACTCAGTGGTGAGGAGGCGCCAGGATGGGCCAGGCCCCCTCACACCCACAGCTGCAGYCCTCCATGACCAAGACCCAAGCAGGGCCCTGGTGTCCCTGAGGGGCTCGGGACATGGRGAGACAGMGAGGACGTAAGGACACAGAGGGGACATTGGGGTCACAGAAGGACAGAGAGACACAAGGGAGCAAAGACATGCAAGACATAGGGTGGCACAAGGAACACAGAGGGGACGTTGTGGGGGACAAAGGCAGCCGGCCCCTCACCCGTCTGCTCAGGGGTGAAGATGGTCTCGGCCAACAGTCCCTTACGCTGCGTGAATTTCCTAAATTCTTCCAGGGCCTCCAGGTTCTCCTCGGGGCTCCTCCCTGGAGAGAGGGGACCAGGRGAGCTGAGGGGGGCTGGCTGYACATGCTGTGGGGACAGGGCCACCAACTGGCATCCAGAGCTTTGCCCTGGAGGGAGCAGGTCTGCAGTGTCAGGCCCCTGAGCTGAAGCACCTCATGTCCCAGAGTCACAGGGCTGTCCCCTGACCCTGGAGGAACCCTGTCCCATGAAGGTCTTTGCCAGGACCCTCCCCCTTCAGGCTGAGCTGTCCTGATGCCCAAACACTGGGAAGTGGCCCTTGGCAGCCCGAGTRGCTGGAGCCCCCTCCTGAGTGGTCAGGACTCTGAGGGCCCTGTCTGTCCCTGTGCCTGACAGTCCCCCCCAAGCCGACCCCTGCCCACTTCAGAGCTCATCTCTGCCTGGGCAGCTCACAGGGCCTGGCACGCAGAGGCCAGCCAAGGCTCTAGTGCCCGGTGCCAGGGAGTGGCTGCTGTTCCTTGGCTGTGGGGAGTGGGGACCGTGGGGCAGGAGACRGGGGTCTCCCAGGAACCCTCACCCATGAGCTTGCCCATGCGGAACTTCTTCCCCGGGCCCTGGCTTTCACAGTAGAAGATGCAGTGGTGGCTCTCGGGCAGCTCTTCTATGTACACGAGCTTCTTGCCGTGGTCTGTGGCTGGACAGAGAGGGCAGCTCTTCAGTGTCTTCATTGTTAAAAACAAAACCCTGGAGACCACGTTGAGGAGGAGCCTCTACTTTCCCCTGTCCCCCAGGGGCCACAGCCACCCCAGCCAGRGAAGGAGCCACCCAGCTGTGGAGTCCAGGTGCCAGAGGCTGGAGGACGTGGAGGCTGGAGCTTGGCCCTGGCYCGGGCAGCTGCCCTGCCCTGTCCAGGACTCCAGTCCTCAGTTCCCCAAAGGTCGAGAGCTAGGACCTCTCAGAGGGAGCGACTGCCCAGTCAGCCCCTGCTGGGGACAGCGTGGGACACCTGGTGTCTGGGGTCAGAGCCACCAGGCCCTGGGAAGCAGAGGCAGCCCTGCTGGGAGGTGGACAGGACCCTCCCTCCCCCAGGAGCTTCCCTGCAGGGGGCTCCAGGCTCAGCGCAGGGACTCACAGGCGCTGTATCTGCCAGGCTCCTCGGTTTTCTGCAGAGTAACTTTCTTCTCTAGGCACCGCCCCTTAATCCTGGAAGCAGGAGCACACGGGCAGCTGCTCTCAGGACAGGCACCTGAGCAAAGCTCGGCACACCTGGTGGGCCAGCCCTCACCTGGTGACACTGAAAATCCCACTTGACCAGCCTGAGCCTTGGGAAGCTTCCTGGACTGTGTCCCCTCATAGTAGGGGATTTGTTTCTGATGACACTCAAATGTGGATGGGTGATGGGAAGTGAAAGGGAACCGAGGGTCCTGCAGGGCAGCACTCACAGGAGGGTGGTCTTGGCCTCCCAGCTCCCATCTTCCAGGGCTGTCACCGTCACGGGGAACACCTTCCTGGGCCCCTTCCAGTCTGGTACCGAGGGCATGTTGACCACAAAGGCCTTTGGGTACCAGGTCCCTGTGATCTGGAGAAGGTCAAGGCATGAGTCACCTTGGCCCCGCCCAGATTCTCCCATCGCTCCCTGGCACAGGGACCTGCAGCCCAGGGGACTCCCAGAGCCCAGGCTGAGCCCCCCAGACGGC